CTTACTATAAAATGCATGAATAGTAAGTACATGAAAAGATAATGAGGGCTGATGAGATAGCTCAGTAGACTAAGTGCCTGCTTTGGCAAGTGCACATGATTATGAGGATATTATCAGAAGACGGATGTAGAGGAGGTTGTGTTTCATTGTTAATATTCTGTGTTTGAAGAATGAGTTGAAAATTTGGAAAACTTCTTCAGTAACTGAAATCTGGTTAAAACATTATTTCTTTGATTTAAGACTAGTTTCCAAATATGCCTCATCGTTGGATTCAAAGCCTTAGGTACATGTGAGAATCTCTCTCTCTCTCTCTCTCTCTCTCTCTCTCTCTCTCTCTCTCTCTCTCTCAAATGTACATGGAGCACTAGTATATTTTAACCCCCCCCAGCTGATTTGTCTGTCAGATAGTTTTTGTGGGGAACCTGTAGCATTAAGTAAGCTGGATAGTTTCTATAAATGTCATTCTCAAACCCTATTCAGACCTAACAAATCAAAGTACATGTTGTAATAAGATTCCCAGGTGATTTATGTATATACTACCTTAGGGAACACTGTCTAGATGTAGTGAATTTCTGGTAATGCCCCAGAATTACGAGTATGGTTCTCAGAATGTGATCTCCTTGCTACGGAAATGCAGATTACTGAGCACCACCCCAGGTCTTTCCAATAGGACACTTTGGGGTTGAGGTCTAGTATTGTGTAGTTTTATTAGTCCAGCAGGTGATTCTGTGCATGACAGTTGAGAAGTCTGCATTAGGACTTTCTAGTATTTGGGATTTGGAACCACTGAATTGAAATTGATTCTACAAGTCTTTCATTAAAATACTTTTGAAGTGTCAGTGTTGTCCATTACTTTAAACTTTAGGAAAAGCTATATGGACATACGTAGAGAAAGAAAGTATATATGGCCCCCCCCAAAAAAAGGTGTTAATATCCGCTGTCTTTTATAAATGGCACGGTCAAGTTCAGAAAGGGTAAAGTAGCTAGTCCAAAGCAGTCAGCCAAGAGGCTGGGGAGATGGCTCAGTGGAATAAGTGCTTCCCTGGCAAGCACAAGGGCCTGAGTTCAATCCCCGGTTCCAAAAAAAAAAGATTATTGGGTTGGGGAGATGGCTCAGTGAAATAAGCGCTTCCCTGGCAGGTGCAAGGGCCTGAGTTCAATCCCTGGTTCTACCAAAAAAAAAGAAGAAGAAGAAGAAGAAAAAAAAAGGACATCCAAAGCAGTCAGCCAGCAAGCAAGTGGTAGAACAAGAACTTAAACTTCCCCAACCTTTATATATCACCACATTTGAGTTTGATGTCATTTTTTTGTGTTGACTTGCCTCCTTCGTCATCTCAGGCATGTGGGAATGTAGTTGTATTACATTCCTCAGCCCCAAGAGCAAGCTTGAAAGCACATTCATCAACTGAAATTATTATTAGTCATCCCCAACCCCCATTCCACCTATTCTTTCTTTATAGACTTTGTATGTCTGAACATGTTTGTATGTTTGACCTTGGCTCTAATTAGATATTCTTTGATTTAGGTTGAGTCTGTGCAGAAAGACACTTGATTTAAATAGTCCAGACATACTGAATTTTGAAGTTACTTTTAACTTGACAAAGTTGCAGACTTGGCCTGTTGGTGGGTTGAGATTTAGGATTCATTCCAACACAGCAGAGATTATTAATTAAACATTTCACATATTTTGAAGGATTGGATCAGGCTACCTTAAGGGCGGGTCTGGTAGGGCTTGTGGAGCTGGGGATCAAACTGCGATCTCCTGCGCCTGACTGGGTTTGCCCAAGCAAGTGCTTAAACAACTGAGCTAACCCACAAGACCCATTTCACATATTTTGTATTCTACCTCATTCTAGGAAACATTTGTGATGATTAAAGGTTAATGTTAAATAAATTGCTTTATTTATTTTCTCATATAACACTTCTTAAGTTTTGATGGATCCATTAGGTTAATAGAAAATAGGAAAAAATAGCAAGAATTTATTCTTACCAGCTGATTGAGGGATTATATTTAAGAATGGCTTTGTTTTGAAATGTTGACCTTCTGGAGTAGTTGTTCTTTTCTGAGTTTCATTGAACTCATAGTGACATTTTTAGATAATGTGTGATAAGAGCATTAAGAAACAGAGCCAAAGTGCTTTTATTTACTTTTATACAAACTAAATTACCCTTATGACCCAGCATAGAATCTCATTGCTAACAAAAGTTATTTATTTTGACAACAGAATTAATTGAGTCTAAAACAGTTGAAATTCCAGTTGTTGCACACTGTTCATTAAGACTCACTCTGCTTTTAGTACTGTCAAAAAAAATAACTTGTCTTGTGATTAAATAGCAGAACATTGGGCAGTAGACTTCATTTGATGGAGATTGCTGAATAAACTTTCCACTTGTGAAACAGTTCAAAAGTGACATGCTACAAGGGAGGTCAGGCTATGCATTGAGATCCAGCTGAGCTGTCAGCTGGCCCGGAGCCAGGCACACAAAGCCTTGCCATGTGAAGGAGCATATGCCACTGGAGAAAGAAAGTCTCCTGTGTGCATGGTTTAATACTTTTTTTTTTTTTTAAGAAAAAAAATTTTTTTGGCTTCATTATACTAAAAATTTAGTATTTTTGTCTTTAACAGAAAAATTTATGTGGGTGGTTATCAAACATTTTAGATATATTTTATAATTTGAGAGGATTTGGCATTTTATATTTCAGGGAAGGTTTATTTTTTGCTTTTGGTGCTGAGAACTGAACCCAGGAATGAACAACATTTTATATTTAAAAAATGGTTTTTATTTTTTTTCACTGGGCACTACTATCTCAAATAGATTTTTAAGAGGATATTTTAAAAAGATAAAGGAAAATTAATTGAGACAATATCTATATAGGAAAAAGATTTTTGAAGAAAAGTTTAGACTTATTTGAAGAGATTAATTTTATAGTTAAGGAATCCCTTCACTATTTTCATATAAATTAAGGCCCCCCAAAATATTAAAATGTTGTTCTGTTTATACTGTATTTACTAAGATGATGTTGTAAAAGTCCTTCCAGATTTAAAAAAAATTATAAATTTAGTAATTTACTTGCCATTAGTATGTTTTTATTTTTATCTTTCTCCCCTCTAAAAAAATAAGTCCATAATTTAGAGGTTCTGTAAATAGTTACTGGTACAAAATGTGCTGTGTAGCTGGAGGAGAATTTTAACCATGTTTCTGGTTGCCCTTTTTTGGGTAACCTCTCAAATTCTTACACCTTATTATTACTTAGAAAAGCCAGTAGTACATAATAAGCTGTTGATAATTTGTTAGTGAGTTTTCATTATTCATAATCTTAAGATCAAGCAAAAAGTTGTTTAATGTGAGGTCCACATAATTCTTTATCCTTAGTGATCTATCTGTCCCCATTTCATTGTAAATTGTTATAGGCCTCTATAAAAGAGTCTAACAGCAAGCTCCAAGACCTTTCATTAAGTGATCTCTCAGCTTCCAGATTCTCAGAATGGGCTTGAATAAACTTAAATTTTTAATTGTATTGTTTTCTGACCCTTTAAAGATTTTGGGGGTGAAAGTGACAAATATATTTTTTTCTTAGTCATTATTAGTCTAAAAATTAAGAACACAGTGGTGAATAGGACAAATGAGGCCCGGGCCTTATATTCTAGATAAACTTACTGTCTTGCTACACTGTTTTGCCTATGAGCATAATCAAGGATTCGACAGCTACCCTTACTGTGCTTTTTTCTTGTTAACTGCACTGCAAAGTAGTTCTTAAAAGCACAAACTACAAGTTTGTGTCTCTGTGTCCTGTGGTATCACATATAAAAGATTTTTCAGTACATTAATGTGGTCAAAATAGACTATTCTCAGGGTTTTTTTTTTATTTTGGGGGATTATTTACTTTTTAAGAACTATTACTGATATTTTAATTAACTGATAACTAGAACATATTACAGAATCATTAAAAAGATGCATTAGGAGTTAAATTTTAAAAGTTGAAGTATAGTATAATGGATTTATCTGATACTGTTTTCTACTAGGAGTTGCTTTTTTTCCCCTCCTTCAGGCCTTATTGAATTTGAAGAATGTGACCCTGCTAGTGCAGTTGAAGGTAAGTTACTTATAATGTATCTGTGTGTGTGGCACCTAGCTCACTGTGTTGTGTGTTGAACAAAAAAAAGCAAGCTTGCCATCCACAGGTGTCAGCATGTCTGCGCAGTAATGTAAAAATCTGGAAGTGTGGTCTGAAGGCCTGCAAATGCCGATTGTTATTTGAACAACAGATTTGCCTGAAGGAATACGACTGTATTAAAATACATATTTTTGAGGATGATTGAACATTGGGCTTCATGCAAGTCAGATGCTTTCTGTTTTTGTTCATGTTTTGTATGTCTCACTTAGGCATCTTAGGCAAGCACACGAGACTACTGAGAAATGCCTAGCCCAAAATATATATATTTAAAAAAACAAAATGCACAGTGCCTGCCTGGCAAGTGTAAGGTCCTGAGTTTGATTCTCAGTGCAAAAAAGAAAGAAAGAGAAGAAAAAATAGTGTTTTTTTTTTTTGTTTTTTTTTTTTTTTTTTAAAATATAGGGCTGGTGAGATAGCTCAGTGGACTAAAGTGCCTGCTTAGGCAAGTGCACAGGGACTGCAGTTAAATCCCTGGCACCACATGCCGTGCTAGCCCTGCCCTCAGGGTGGGCTGAGGCAGCCCCCCCCAAAAAAAATATATATTTTTCATTGTGTTCCATCCTTAAATTTTGTTGTCATGAAAATGAAAACCTTCACTACACAGTAATGCAGAGTGCTTACTCCACAGTGGGCAGTGTTTCATTGATTAATGAGGTCATATATTACTATTAATATTATCACCATTCAAAATGGGTGATCAACAGACTTAGGGGACAGATCTGTAGTCAGTCTGACTCCTGTTTAGGTGTTTTTCATAGAATGAGATGTGGAAGATACTTTCTGTTTTTGTTCATGTTTTGTATATCTCGCTTTGTGGGCTAATAGAAATAATTTGAAAACAATTATTTTTCTAATCTTTAAGAATTTTGAAAAATTATTTATTATAGTATATAAACTTATTACAGCATTAAAGTTATCAGTAGGCCTGAAGCCTAGGCTTCTTGCAGTCAGTAGCTATTTGATGAGGAGCAGTAATTAGTTGTCTGAGCTTAACCTTTCATTCTAAAGTGAGAATAATAATAAAAAAAAATCTGCATGTGGTGGCACAACCCTATAATCCTAGTGCTTGGGGAAGCTGAGGCAGGAGAATTGAAAGTTCAAGTTCAGTCTATACAACTTAGTAACTTAGACCCTGTCTCAAAAAGAGACTGGAAACCCAGGTTGGTGTGAAGTCCAGGCCTGGGCTCAGTCCCAACCACTGCCATTAAAAAGAAGAAGTAGTTAATGTTTAAAATATCACAGTATGGTGTATAAATATGTAGTTTATAGCATTAGTTTTTCATGATAACAAGTTCATTACTCTATGACACCTGGATTCTTGTTCTTGCTGAGTTAGAGAACAAGACCTTTGAATTTTATCATATGTAAGTAGAATGGTTAGTGAATGTGACTCAGGATCTCTTCTCAAAGAAGCTAATGAAGTTTCAGCATTGAATTCTGTGAACAATTACTGAAATGATAACCATCAAGTATGACTTACTACGTAAGAAGAGGAAAAATAAATATGATTTTGCTTCTCAGGATCCATTTCTAACATTATGCTAGGGATAACATAGGAATACAAAGAATGCCACGTTGCAAATTTTCATGTATACTTCTAATAGGCCAGCTGGGCCATCTATTTATTTATTTATTTATATGTATTTTGTGCAGGGTCTTACTACGCAGCCCACTTGTAGTGATCCTCCTGTTTTCAAGCCTCCCAGCACTGGGATTACAGGCGTGTGCCACCATGCCTGAACTCAGTCGCCTGGTGGGCCAGCATAGCATGTAGTGCTAGGGATCAAATCCCGATTCCTGTGCTTGCCTAAGTGGGCACTTAGTCCAATGAGCTGACTCGCCAGTCCTGGGTCATCTTTTTAAGCAGTTTAGATTCTGTGACCCTGTAGACAGGAAACATAATTTGAGCTACAAGTATAGCAAAATCTAATATAATGAGTGTTGTACTTTCTTTGAAGACTCAAAAGCTCTCCATCTACTGCTTTTGCTTAAGGTGACTTAGGAAAGAAAATAAATTCATTAAGTGCATGTTCTGTAATCTTTTGGTTAATAATAGACTATACTGTTTTATTATTAACATAAGTATTTGCTATTACTGTGACTTGGAAATTAAGGGTTAAAGGTTGATACTTTTATTTCTTTTCATCCAGATCTAGCATAAACCATTATGAGCAAACTATCTGTAAATACAAGTATTCCTAAGTGTAATGTATTCATCAGGAGCAACCATATTTTTTTAACAATATACATTTATTTTAAAGGTATAAAACCAAGGAAAAGGAAGACGTTCGCTTTACCAGGAATAATTAAAAAAGAAAAGGATGCAGAATCTGTGTAAGCATTTTAAATATTATCAACGTTGTTTTCAGTGTTACAGGTGATTAAGAAAAAACTGTTAGTTTAAATTAAATAAAAAGCCTTTTGGAAATAATTTAAAGTTTAAAAAATTAAAAGTGAAGAGCAAACTACTGTATCAGTCTTATTAACTAAGAGAATGTCTTTAGTCACCTATTTGAAGAAAATCCTTTTAGACTATTCCTTTGTTGACACAGGGAGTTGAACTCAGGGCCTTTACAACAAGCTCCATCCCCAGCCCTTATTTATTTATTTAACTTATTTATTTATTTAGAGATAAGATCTTACTAAGTTGTCCAGTTTGGCTCAAACTTGGCATTCTCCAGCCTCAGTTTTCCGGAATGCTGGGTTTATAGGTGTGCACCACCACACCTGGCTCCATTCTTGAAGGACTTGCAGTATTAAGATAGCACTTTTGGCAGCCAGGCCCTACTTCAAGCCAATTAAATCAGATTCCCTGGGTGTGAAACCTCAAAGTTTTTGTTCTATTTTGTTGTGATTCCGAACATATTCCCACGATTGGAAACATTGAGCTGTGATTAATCAGTGACAAACTCAAAGCAAAAGTATCTTTTTCACTACAGCTTTTTTAGTAAGTTTAGATTGAAGATCTTAAGTGATCAAAAAAAAAAAACAAAACAAAACAAAACTTTTTTTTAATGTATTTGGTTGTTACAGGTTCTTACTATGCAGCTTGGACTCATAATGAGCCTTCTGTTTTCAGCCTCCCCAGTGCTGGGATTTTTGTTCCCCACTACACCCAGACTCTGTGGCTGGCTCAGCCTGCCCTGGGGGTGGGGTTGGTGTGGCATGTGGTGCTGGGGATTGAACCATGGTTCCTGTGCTTCCTCAGCTTGCCTAAGCTGAGACTTAAGTTTGCTGAGCTATTTGCTGGCTCAAGTAATCAAAATCTTAGGTGATTTTGGAACAGTGTTTGAAAATTCGTTCAAAATCACTGCTTTAGCAGAATCAGTGGAATTATTAAAGTTTGATATTTTGATGAGTACTGATATTTTCCAATGTAAAAGGAAAATGTGCTGTAGCGTTCTTGTCTCCTACCTATATTCTTGTTATCTAAGTTTCTCAAGAGTTTTGTATCTTTTGTATTTTAATTTTCTCCCTTCCAAAGTGGTATTTGATTAATAAAGTAAGACTAATTGCAAATTAATCTACTATATCTGTGGCTTTCTCCTTTCTGCAAATACCTTTATTAAGCATTTCTGCCGGGATGCTTTCCAGGAACATGATCTAATTTCTTTTTATACTGGAAATACATATTGAAGTCCAACCAGTTGATTTGTAAATAAATCTTTAAAGTGTTGTCAATTTAACCAGGTATGGTAGCACATGCTTATAAGCCTATCACTTGGGAGGCTGAGGCAGGAGAATTGCTGTGAAATCAAGGCCAACCTGAACTGCATGCAAGACTATCTCAAAAAAAAAGTAGCCTATTAACTTTTTTTTTTTTTTTTTTGGTATTGGAGATTGACCCCACAGCCCCCCTAGAGTCCCCCACCCTTGCTTTTTTTTTTTTTTTTAGCAGAACCAGGGATTGAATTTAGGCCTTTGCCCTTGCCAGGGAAGCATTTATTCTACTGAGATATCTCCCTAGCCCCTCCCTAGCCCTTTTGAGACAGGATCTTGCTAAGCTGCCAAGGCCAACTTTGAACTTGTGTTCCTCCTGCTTCAGCCTCCTAAGTAGTGGAATATTTTTTACCAGCAAAAATACTAGAGTCAAAAGCCAGCACTTAAATCACTGCACTATCACAATCATCTTTTAAACTTTTTATCAGGAAAATGTTAGAATTCACTGTTTTTTGAAATTCCAGTAGTTCTTGGCATGTCTTATCAGATCCTGGAGGCTTTTAAAATGCTAACAGCTATGGAAGATGGGTTCTGCTTAGACCTTGTTCTTCCTGGGGCTTAATCTTTGTAGGACACTGTGAACATGGATTGATGAGATGACAGCTTTACCATGTAATGAGAGTGTCTGTCTCAAAGCCACAGGCTTTTACACAAGAAAAGATATGCATAGCGCATAAACTGGGCCTTTGGGGGGAGAAACTAAGGATTGAGAGATTGAGCCTATGTTTGCTGTGGGTGATGTTGCTGATGAGGGTCTCAAATTCCTGGGCTCAAGTAATCTCCCTGCCCCAGCCTCCTGACAAGCTGGGATTTTAAGCACATGCTCTGTGCTTGGCTTTTTAAAAGGGAGTTTTAAGTGTATATAAGGATAAGCAGGGTTTACATTTATGTCTCTTTGATACTTCAGTTTGGATTAAGAGCAGTGAAGTCATTTTGGGTTTTCATTTTAAACCTTTATCAAAACAGTTCATTTTTCTGTTTTGTATTGTGTCTTTGGGTAGATAGAGATTATTTTTCATTGTATTCTGATACTTCTGTGCATTGATTGTCTCAAGTCAGAGATCCAAATGCCTTTTAGGTCTACACTCTTAATTTTTGTGAGTTTTAGATTGTATAATGTTATTCTTTGTGCCCTCAAGGACTAATTTTATGTGCTGTGGTCTTTGTATTTTAGTTTAACTGATAGTTTTCCGTAGCGTCTGTGTAAATTCAATATTTGTTCCATGAAATAATAGAATATCAGTTCTCAATTACATTTTACATTAAAGTAATCTCAACTGGAAATCTACTCATTCATTAGGAGGATTTCTTTTTGCCCGCTCAGGATGCCTTAAGTGCATGTCTGGTAAGGCATGAGGATCTGGGGGTTGAACCACAGAATTCTGAGCCTGAGTGCTTTGCTTCAGCAGGCACTTAACAACTGAGCTAATGGGCAGGCCCCCTACTTATTCCTTAGGAAAAAAGTAGTTGGTTTTGAGTTATAGAAATAAATAGCTAGAAATTGTTTTGTTCAGAGGCCCTGGAGATGACTCAGTAGAATAAGCGCTTTCTTGACAAGCACATGGTCCTGAGTTTAAATCCATGATGGCACCAAAAAAAAAAAAAAAAAAAGTTGTTTTGTTTAAAAACTTACATATCAATTAGTATATTATCCACTGTGGATAAATTTTTTAGACTACTTGTCACTTTAAATATGGCATTTGTTATTTATTTATTTATTTATTTATTTATGGTTCTGGGTATTGAACTCAGGACCTTGCGCTTGCCAGGCATGCGCTTATTCTACTGAGCTGTCTCCCCAGCCCCAGTATTTGTTGTTTAAAGCCAAGCTTTCTTCTTTAAGGAAATCTTTTTAAAAGTTTACTTAAAAAGTAAAAAGCCACTGGAAAGATTTAAGAGGACTTACATAAGATGTGTAAGTACTATATTTATGGAAAAGAAGTAATTTTGAAAATAATTTTTAGAATACTTGCAAGATGCTTGTATTTTGTTAGGTATTATGAGTATAGGATTACGATTTTGTGTTTTCTGATTTCTGTGATTTGATTCCTCTAAATAATTTTAGAGTTTAAATAAAAGTTGTATTTAAATTGCAAGATACTTTAAACATGGTATAATCAGCAGATAGTTTTGATATTCAGATATTTCTGATACTTTCTTTGTTTTTTAATAGGGAATGCCCTGATGCAGATTCACTTGTAAGTACAGTTAACTTTGATATAATCCACTTGTTTATATTTTTTCATTAGAAAAAGATTTACCTGTTAACCAGTTGTTAAAGAAGAATGCTAATGTTATTATAAATTCTCTATTAAAGTTATTTTGAAGATGCATTTTGGTTTTACATTGTCAGATGCTTCCCTATTAACTAGTATTTCGAAGTACCTTTGGAGAGGTAACATTTTGCTTTTAAAATTTGAATGGGGCCATACATATCAGCATGTTCTTTGTAGAAAATATGCTAGATAACAAATCTGCATACTTCCAAGTGTCATGCTTTTACCATTTTAGCTTTCGCTCTATTAAAATTCAGCCTTATCTGTTCATGCATTTGAGTTTTATTTAGGAGTTTATTATTTTAGAAATAATAGCAAGAATGACCATGCTCAATATTTTTAAAGTGTTTTAAAGAAGGCTTGTTCATTCTTCTTGGATAAATTATTTCTTTATATATAATTAAAAAGATACTTAATGGAGTTCCTGGGGAGAGGTGCAGCTGAGGAATAGATTTATCAGATGCTGTAAATAATGTGTAGATAGGATATTTTTCCAACTGTTCTGTTTGTAAGATACTGCTTGCATTTAAGTGTAAGAATTTCACATACTCTGCCTTTTGCCTGTTGTTTTTCTTGCATAACTTTTCTTTGGCATAAAAACATTTTGACCTTTTGCAGTATAGTAGTAAACCAAAATAAAGAACAGAAAATATTTTGTGAATCATTTTCTTTTATGTAACTTAGGCTACACTAGTGTTTTTGTTTTATATTTAAACCGTTTTCTTTTTTGTGAGGAGGGGAGGGAAGATCCTGAGGATTGAATGTAGGGGGCACTGAACTACAACCCCAGTTCTTATTTATTTCATTTTGAGAGAGGATCTGCCTAAGTATCCAGATTAAGTACTTAAGTATAACATTGAATGAAGTTATTACATGTTTTCTTTTACATATGCTTCCTTAAAAACATTTTTAGTTCTCTCAGTTTATTGATGCTATTCCATAATGGTCAATTTTATGTGGCTTTGAACTGTAGACTGTACTTACCTGATTAGAAGAAGGTGAAACACAATATGCCATTTCCTTATACACATGAGGAAAAAAATGCATCATGAAAAGACATATTAGAATACACCATGTAATTTTGTGGGGGAAGTGGCTTGAGACAGGGTCGCACTACATGGTCCAGGATGGCCTTGAACACACTATGTAGCTCAGATTGGCCTCAAAGTCACACCAATCCTTATACCTCAGCCTCCTGAGTGCTGGAATTATGGGTATGTACCACCTACCATGTGATTAAATTGTTACTAAGGAAAGAAGATTTTGAATCACCAAAGACAAACTTAGCAAGACATCTAACAGAGGACTGGTTACTTTCATTAAAACTTTTTATGCAAATAAGTACAAAAATACCTCATAGAAAAAAGAATTAAAAACAGGCATTTTTCACAAAAATAAAGATGGTAAATAACTATAGTAAATACTATCTAAGACTGATACAAGTTAAAATGAAACTGCTATAGTTTTAGTCCTATTGTCAAAAATTGTGATGTAGTTTTGTTAGTAATGTAAATCAGTACAGTGTTTTGTAGATAATTTTAGCAATATCACCTCAAATAAGAAACACATATTCTTTTTGACTCTACTCTCTTGCTAGAAACTTACTGTTATGGCTGTGTCCATAACATAGTATCTCTGCAGTAGCTACACACATATACACTATTGGCCAAGATACATATGTAAATGGAAGGGAAGAGACACCAAGATGAGAACTGGTTAAAGTTTTAAATATTCACTTGCTGAGATAATAGATGTTATCATTTGGCTGACCTGTTTGCTGGACTTACTAATTAAAAGAATATATGGATTTTTAAGTGCTGTTTTAAAAATAAAATACAAATGTGTATGTATCTGTGTTTTTTTTTTTAACTAATTGCAATTGTGGTTACCTTTGGACAGATGGATTATAGTGGTGGATAGCAAGGAAAGGATACTTTTTGTGTCTTTATTTATGGCCAATTATTATTTATTAGCTAATTATGGCCTTGTCTTTATTTTTAAAATATTAGTAGATTATATTGGTAGGGAAACTTGTTCATTTCCTCATTTTATCCTATTTTGAAAGGTCTGTGCACTTAAAAATGTTAACTGGAGGGATGACTTGTGATGTCACATCTTATTGTGATCAAGCAAATTGGAATTGCCTTTTTTCCCCCCAATATCCCAAATTTCAGACAGATTATGAAACATTTCACTGACTCTTGAGCTTCCTTACAGTAAGTTTTAAGAATCACAACACTTTTAAAAATTGGTAGGTGAAGTTACCTGTCCTGTTCTTCATACCACTTTTGAGTCACGTCAGCAGTGTGGGCTATATACAAGGTCAAGTGTAAGAATAATGATATACAGAAGGCTGTCTAGAAGGTGTTAATTAGTATTGAATTCTGTGAATAGTTCTAGCATGAAAAAAATATGTACACTTAGAGAGTAGTGCTGTAAAATATTTTGTTTGGAAATAATTATAGATTAACAAAAGGTTGCAAAGATAGTACAGGACAATGCATATACGTGTCATTCTTTTTTCCTGATGGTGAAACTACAGTTTGTGAAACTAGGATACTAACAAATTCAGTCAGAGCACCATTTTTATTACCATAATGATCCCTTGTGTTAGCTGCTTTTTAACTAGTAATCTTCCTGTCTCTACCTCTCTTCAGCCTCTGGCCACCAGTAATCTTTTCTCCATTTCTATAATTCTGTCTAACTGAAGAGCATTGTAATAGGAATCATATAGTAAAATCATGGAGTTTCCATTTCTCATGGTGCGGAATTCTCTGAATCTTTATCTAGGTGGTTGTGTACAGTACATAGAGAGTTCATTGTTTTGCTGCTGAATAGAATTCCATGTAATGGGTGTACGGGTTTGTTTAATCATTCACTTACTACAGGATGTTTTAGTCATTTCCAGTTTTGGGCTGTTAGAAGTAAAGTTGCTAAGAACATAGGTCTTTGTGGACATTGCCTCTGCCCTGGTAATTTTCTTTCTGAATCTAACACTAGGATAGCCACTGCTGTTTGTTTTTAACTGTTATTATTATTAATGTAGATATTTTCCATCCTTCATCTTTCAGCCTACCTATTATCATCATAGTTGAAGTGAGTTTTTTACAGACAGCCTATAATTGAATCATACTTTTTGTTCATTGTACCAGTCTCAGTATTTATTACCATGATTAATTTTAGTTGGTAATAATTGTGATTATATTTAAAATTAGTTTTTATTTTTTAATCAACACAGTAATCAGACATATATATGGAATATAGTATAACATCTCCCACATATGTATAATGTCATCAGATAAAGATAACTGATATATTAATCACCTCAAAATAATTTCTATAGCTTCAACATGTAAGTGAGGACATGTAATAGTTGCTATTTCTGTGCTTGACTTATTTCACTTAACGTGTCTCCAAGTTTGTCCATATTATTAGAAATGACAGGAGTTTATTTCCTTTTTGTGGCTGAATAATATTCTACTACATTATCTTTTTCTTTTAACCTGTTGATGGACACCTAGGCTGCTGCTATAAATATTATTAAATTAAACATCAGAGTCCAGTCACCTTGCCTTTTTTTTTTTTTTTAATGTATTTGGTACAGGGTCTCACTGTGCAGCTCAGACTCGTAGTGATCCTCCTGTTTTCAGCCTCCCCAGCACTGGGATTACAGGACTACGCCACCACACCTGGTCTCAGCAGACTTGGCACAGCATGCAGTCCCAGGGATCAAATCCTGGTCTTTGTACTTGCTGAAGCAGGTGCTTAGACTGAGCTATCTCCACAGCCCCAGATTGCCATTTTAACTGGGCTGAAGTGGTATTTCATTATAATTTTGATTTGCATTTCCTTGATACTTACTGATGTTGAGCAGTTTTTCTTACACCTGTTGACATTTTATTTTAGCTTCTTTATTGTTAAAATCCCTTATATATTCTGGATATGAATCCCTTTTAGAGCAAATAGTTTATAAATATTTTCTCTCATTTTGTAAGTTGTCTCTCAACTTCATTGATTGTTTTGCAGAAGCTTTTTAGTTGATGTATTTGGATCATTTATATTTAATGATTGCATAGCTTCAATTTACCATTTTATTTTCTTCTCCCTTAATATTTTTATTTCATGTTCTTGCCTTTTAGGTTAGACCTTTTTTAGACTTCCACTTTTATTTACTTATCTTGTAGAGCTCTTTCAATGATTGGTCTAGGTCAGCCTCCAATACCTTCAGATATTTGTTTATTTAGTTTGACCAGATTTTATAGTTGTAATCAGCAGATGAGCCCAAAAGCAGCTTAGTCAACTTCATAGAAAGCATTTTGGTGTCATTTAAAATTATTACATTGTACTATATAGTCCATTGTGAGCAAATTTGAAGTAGTATCAGTTACCAAATTCCAGATAGAACCTCCAGGAGACTAAATATAGTAGTTTCCTATTATCTAAGAGGTATATATTCTAAGATTACTTTTGTGCACGTTTGTATGTATGTATGTGTTTTCCTCCATATATGTATGTTTTTCCTACATACCTGTGATAGTTTAGTGAATTAGGTACATTGAAATTAACAATAATAATAAGATAGAAAAGTTATAAAAATATAGTAAAAGTTATATCAAATTCATGAGTTTTTTATTTCAGGAATTTGCAGTTTAATATTTTCAGATTCAGTTAGCCACGGATAATTGAAATTGTGGAAAGCAAAACTGAATTGAATGGCTGGAGGACTGTGGTACCTGGTGTTTTTGTGGGCTACCTGAAATAGATAAAGTATTTTGATAAAACTTCATTCTGATTTCTAACTAAACTATACTTGCCTGCAACACCCTGACATTCTGAGGCATTCTTTTTTCTTAAACATTTATCTGGAAATAATTTCCAACTTACAAAAATAAAAGAATAAAATAACATAAAGAATAGTTGCATCTCTTTATAACATATCTGCTTTAATATTTTTTGTTCTGTGTATATATGTGTGTGTGTGTGTGTGTGTTTTATGTATGTATATAATTCTTTCCAATTTTGGGGGGGTGGGTTGGGTGTGTGTTTTCGTGAGAGGGCCTCCCTGTGTAATTCAGACTGACCTTTTGCTCATTATATAGCACAGGCTGGCCTCAAATTTATGGTGATTCTCCTACCTCATCCTCCTGAGTGCTGGCACTATATGCATATGCCACCATCCCCAGCCCAATCTGTTTATTTATTTACTTTTTAATTTCTTCACTTTTTTTTTTTCATTTATGTATTTGGTTCAGGGTCTTACTATGCAGCTTGGACTCGTAGTGATCCTCCTGTTTTCAGCCTTCCCAGTGCTAAAATTACACGCATGAGCCACCATGCCCAGACTCTGTCTCCAGCTCAGCATGCCCTGGGGATGGGGCCAGCATGGCATGTGGGACTGGGGATCAAACCCTGATCCCTGCGCTTGCCATAACAGGTGCCTAGTCCACTGAGCTGTCTTACCAGCCCCAATCTGTTTTAGTGTAAAGTACTAAATTTAAATGTTTTATCCCTAAATACATAGGCATTTTTTAAAAGTCCAGGAATATTTCCTTAATAACCACAAAAGCATACTAAAAAGTGTCTCTCTTTTTATTTCTATTCCATTATCGTCTTTTTAGACAAACAACTTGATTTTAGATTATTCCTTTTTTTCAAAACCAATTAGTAGGACAGTTTCAATAATTAATACATTACATATTGTTGTCTTTGTAGTGGTTATTCATAGTGCAAGATACAGTCATGATATCCTGTCCAAACACTGTTAGTATAAGTCTTTCTTCTCATTGAATTAAAAGTAGCTGTGTATCTATCTTAACTATTTTGTGTATGCAAATACAAAATTGTGCTTCATAATGGTTTGATATCCCCTCTTTTTTGTTTAGTTTTGTCAGAGATGGGTATTCCATTGCCATTTAAATATTGTAGATGTGTGAATTCAGCAAAATAATCTAATATAGTCCAGTAGTCTATAATAGTAGTGGGCTATCCATAGGACTGGCAATGTCAAAGTGGTTGACTTGAGCCTTTTATAGCTCAGCATATTAATATGGCTTTACTTTTTATACCAGATTATTCTTCTAGTGGTTTTGTTTTTCAAAAAAAATTTTTAAATGTATTTTAGCTCAGAGTCTACAGGGTCTCACTACACAGATTGGACTATAGTGATCCTCCTGGTTTCATCCTCCCAAGTGGTGGAATTGCAGGCATGTACCACCACGCCCAGGCGCAGTTGCCTGTCTCAGTGCGCCCTGGGGGTGGGGGGCAGCACAGCATGCCAGGGATCAAACCCTAGTCACTGTATTTTTCATAAATTTAAGCAG